TTGTAGGCACCCTTATTTCTGTTTTCGGTTGCATATTAGTTCTTCGGTTATTACAATTTGTGCGCGATGCTCAAACCTATGTTTACTGTTCTTTTAAATTGTTTACGTTTTACCCACAACTATACTTAATATTTCTGTATGCTCGTAATGTATTCCCTTATTACTGTTTTGTAAATTATATATCTTAAACCTAAAAAAAAAATAAAAAAATCGGATCCTCTTTCCACATTAGATGATTTTCATCCTCCATCCACGGTTGATGTCACTGATCTCTCCATCAAACCTTTAAAAGATAAATCTCAACCGAAGTATAATTTCCGGAAATGTAATTACACAATCATCAATGAACTTTTGAACAATGTTGATTGGAATGAGCTGCTGTTGAATACCGCGTCAGTAGATCATGCTGTAGAAAATTTTTATAAAAAATTAAACGAATGCTTTGTCCTATTTGTTCCTCTTGTACCCTCTTGTAATAATTATTACCCATGTTGGTACAGCCCTGCATTGATAAAAATTTTACGGGAGAAATCTAAAGCTCATAAAAAATGGAAAAAATTGAAGAATCCTCGTGATTATGAAGAGTTTTAATTGCTTAGAAATAGACAACATCGTATACAAAAGAAATGTTTCGAGCATTTCACGTGTAACACTGAAAAAAATTTGAAAACGTCGCCTAAGTTCTTTTGGAAATATGTTAAATCAAAGAGAGGGACATCCACTTATCCTCAAAATTTCTCTTTTAACAATAAGAATTACTCTAATGGGCAGGACATTTGCTCAGCATTTAATAACTATTTCAAAAGCGTATTTACTGATTCTGTTTTACCATCAAGTGAGTTTCATAACCATTCCGATATGAGCATAGATCAGATCTCTAGCATAAATATATCCCGGGAAGCTGTTCTTAAGTATCTTAAACACTTGGATACAAACAAAGGGGCTGGTTATGATGGAGTGCCTCCTGTGTTCTTGAAGTCCTGCGCCGATAGCTTAAGTTACCCAATTTCTTTACTTTTTAAACTTTCTCTACAACATTCTGTTTTTTCATTGTTATGGAAAAGAGCGCATATAATTCCTATTCATAAAAAAGGCGCCAAATCTAAGATAGATAATTACCGCCCAATTTCGATTCTTAGCACTGTTGCGAAAATTTTTGAAAAACTAGTATTTGATAAAATTTATCCAATTATTATAAAAGGTATACCTAACTCACAACATGGTTTCTTGAAGAGTCGCTCCACCACGTCTAATCTTGCCTGCTTCACTGAGTACGTTCTCAATCATATGGAAAACGGTGGTCAGGTTGACTTGATATATACGGATTTCGAAAAAGCTTTTGACCATGTTAATCATGTTGTCTTGCTACAAAAGCTCCAGGCGCTCGGAATTCATGGAGATCTGCTTAGATGGGTAAAATCTTATCTAATGAATCGATCTCAGGCAGTTATTCTCGGAGGATACAGGTCAGATTTTATTACTATCCCATCTGGCGTGCCTCAAGGCTCTCATCTTGGCCCCCTATTCTACAACGCATATATATTTGATATACATAAATTTATAAGTAACTGCCATCACTTACTGTACGCCGATGATAAGAAAATATTTCTCAGTGTTCGTACTATTGAAGAATGCGTATCTATTCAAAAAGATCTTGCCTCTTTATATAACTTTTACGTAGCTAACGGCATAAATGTAAGCATATCTAAATGTCAGTGTATATCTTTCACCAGGAAATTGAATCCAATAGTATTTCCCTATAATTTTAATGGAATTTTAATTAAGAGGGTCACAGTTGTTCGAGATTTAGGCGTACTCTTTGATGCCGGCATGACCATGCGAGATCATATCAATAGTATATGTAGTAAATCTTTTCGTAATCTTGGATTTGTCATGCGCACATGTCTTCCATTTACGGAATTACTAAGTCTTAAAATAGTTTATTTTTCGTATGTAAGATCCACTCTTGAGTATGCATGCCAGGTTTGGTCACCGTTTTTTAAAATTTACATTAACAATATTGAAAGAATTCAACGTAAATTTATTTCACACCCGAACTATAAATTTAAACATAATAGCTCATCATATTTAGATGACTGCCGACACTATAACCTTCTTACGCTCGAAGAAAGACGAGGACTGTTAGATATGGGATTTCTATATGATATTTTACGCGAAGGTATTGACTGTCCGGATTTACTGAATACTGTCACGTTTAATGTGCAAAGAAAACGTACTAGTTTCACCAAGAAAACTATGTTTTGTATTCCTCGTCACTCCACACTTTACGGTAAAAATAGTATCTTAACACGATTGTTATCAAATTATAACAAAACATTTAATACCATCGATCCCTTTATAGGCAGTAAAAGTGATTTTAAAAACAAGGTACGTGCATTCGTTTTGAACACAGCTTCTGTTGTTTGAATTACCTGTATTTGTAACCATTTACGTAGGATGCAGGTAAGGTACATTATGAAGAACACTTTCTGTAGGTATCTATATTTAAATAATAAGTAAACTATGTAATATTTTAGAATATGTATGTGTATGTGTGTATATGTGTATGGATGTATGTATATATATATATATATATATATATATATATATATATATATATATATGTATGTATGATAGATATAATATAATATGCCATGATATAAATAAATTAATAAAAAAAATACTCGAGAAGTTAATCGCATATCAATTTATCAGTAAGGCTTAATATGTAAGTGTTAGTAAACCTAAAATTACTTAATTTTTATTACTGTTATTTTATTAAGCTGTTTTAAATTGGTCTAATTTGCATTGTTTTTATTTATTATAATTGTACCTGGCTTACCTTTATATTTAATATGTGGATGACTGTTATTGGCATACTTGAAGTGAAATTGAAAATTGTATTTAGTGATATACGCTGTTGTTATCCTTATTAAAATAAAAATAAAAATAAAATAAATAAATATTCTCTCGATCGCAATATGTTAAGAAAACGGTCACCCATACATGGACCGACCAGCAAGTGAACCTTTATCTTGCAGATCTATTGATCTATGCAACTGTTACTTAACTATGGGTTCCCCTTTTCTACGAGTAACGCAGTAAGTAATGAACTACACTATCAAGCACTCGGCACACTGTCATCGAGCATCAAGCATGAATCAGACATCAAGCGTTGCGCGTATCAAATACTATGGAATTTATACTATCCTGGTACACTAAATCGCGCGCCTCATTGTATCTAGTGGCGCTTCAGGAGCATTACTCAATAACCATACCTAACTACGCTTAAAGTTTTATCATTGTGACTTAGGAATATATACCAAAGCTCCGCACAACCCCTGGGGTAAAATATATAATAATAGAGATAGAGTTTTATAATGTATAAAAATCTATCTCTATTTTTAACTAAAGTTTTTGATGTAAAATTTTTATACCAGCGTAAAATAGCAGTTTAACACTGCTGTGTTTCGTATGGTAAGTGTAGAGAACCAGAGACCCATTTTACTGGAACGAGGCATTTCATCTTAGTCTTCATGGGTGATAACGCATCTGCATTTTAATTCGCAAACAAGGATAGATGTAGATGTCTATGGGCCATAGCAACTACTTACCATCAGGTGGACTGTGTGCTCGTTTGTCACCCCATCCTATAAAAATAAAAAAGAAGTCTTATTGTAACAATAATATACTTACTGGTACAAATAACGTAGGAGTGGCTCCTTTTAATAAAGTTGTATTTACTCTGCTTTTTCTTATATATTTCTCAATAAAATGTTTACTACAAAATTGTAGAGTTCTTCTTAGGATTCCGACCAACCCGCCCAATTAATGCCAACCATTTTTTTCTAACCAAAGGATCCAGAGGCAATCTGTTTTGTCAAACGGCAAAATAAAATTTTGTTTTTAGAACGCAAATCGAGCATTTAATTTCATTCTTCTTTTTGTTGTGTATAAAAGTCTATCGATTCTTTATACACATTAAAGCTAAATATCGACATTAATTTTGATATAGTTGAGTCAATCCCTAGCGTAAATGTAAAATATTTTGTTTAAAAATGAATTCACCAAAATCATACAAATTATCAACATAGTGACTTATTTCTTTGCAAAAGATTAAAATTAATAAAATAATTGAAAATATTACATATTTTAAAACAGTATATAACATAAATTTTAAGCAAAAATAGACGTGTCTTATTATTGACGACGTCTTGCGAATTTACCTGTGAAATGTGCAACCATCAGGATTAGTTCTATTGTTGATACCACAGTCACTTACGGAACATGAAACTATTTTGGAAAACTATAAATTATACAAATTAACCCTATTATAATCAAAAAACACACAAAATATCTACAAGCTTATTTCTTGCGCGCCGACTGGCGCCGACCTGTCATTCAAAATCGGTTATGCTTCCTCTACACTACTCGCGAAGTAGATCGAAGTTGGACGAGGCGAATAGTGTAGAGAGGTACTTCGATTCACTTCGTCCAACCTCGCTTCGCCTCGGGCGACTTCCGATCGCTGTCGGTTTTTTGTGCCAGAGTCAAAGGGCTTCGCGAAGTACCTCGAAGTTACACGAAACATCTCACTACACTACTCGGCATACGTCCATTAGCGCTTTGACGCCGTACTGTTCACACGTGGGTGCGCGCGCATAAAATTATAATGAGTGCGACCTGGTCACAGGAACAAGTCCTTTTCTTTTTGGAAACACTACAATCAGAGCGAGTTATTTGGGACCCAACTGACAGAGGACATAAAGATAGAAAAAAATCAACGATGCTTGGGTGCGCATTCAAGGAATTTTCAATATGCCTATCCTAGAACTGAAAAAAAGAAAGAATCTGTTTTTGCCACCTACAGGGGCTATTGCAGAAAAAAACAAGATTCACTTAAATCCGGTGCCGGCGTGGATGATATTTATCTTCCAGTATGGTTTGCATTTGAACATATGGATAATTTTTTGGGACCAGTATTTAAATGTAAACAAACAATGACAACGGTGAGTTTTTATTATTTAATTAATGAGTAGGTTAAAAATTAATTCATTTCAATGCATGCTAATGTAAAGTAAATGCACACCTGTTTCACGGCTTTATTCAAATACGAGTATATTATGAAAATGTATTTTATTTCCATATTTCATGAATTCCAACAACAGATAGGCAAGATTTCTCAAAAGTATATGAATGGTGTTGTTACTGTTTCTTTTTTTACATTTGTATGCATTGTATGATTTTCATTACATTTAGTAATAAATTTTAACCGACTTCAAAACGGAGGAGGTATGCAACTCGAGTGTGTTTGTTTTGTATGTATGTTACTTACGCGATATCTTCGCAGATTGTTACACAATTTCGATAATTGTTTTTTTATTAAATAGGTGATCGCATATAAGGGTGGTCTCATTATAATTTGGAGAAAAAAATTCATCCCAAAGGGTAGAAAATAAATAACTTTGTTTTTAGCGATTTGAATTCGGTTTTTATTTTTTGTCAAAAGTTTATAACTTTTATTAACAAACAAAAACGGGACAAAAAAAGTCTTTTATTGACCAAACAATCTTTATTAGGCTTTTTACATAATTAATAGTATTTATATGCCGGATTTCCATATCCCAGGATTTAATAAGCATACAATAATTAATTATTTCTAAAAAGATACTCCGCAAAATGATCTCTTATCTGAGTGGCAGATAATGTTGATCTGCGTGGTATTTGTGCAATATTTCTCAAAGCACAGTTTTTATCAACGTTCTGCCGCCAAGTTCCAGGTTGAAATAATACTCCGTTTTCATCATATGTGTCCACAATACCGGGTGGCATATAAATATGAGATGAATTATTACTTTTTCTGAGAAAGTTGTGCAATAAGAGACAAGTCATTATAATAATAGGAACGGTGTCGATATTTATATCAATTGGCTTTTTGAATATTCTAAACCTGTTTGCTAAAATACCAAAAACATTCTCAACTACAACCCGAGACCTTGACAAGCGTGTATTAAAAATTCGTTTAGGCGAACCAATATTATGAGTACCAGGATATGGTTTCATTATATTATTATGCAAAGCAAATGCTCCGTCAGCCAAAAACACGTAGGGAATATTAGCTTTATCAGCGCTAGACAATGAGCGTGGCTTAGGCAAATTAAGAGTTTCGGATGAAATTTTTTGCCACAACGAAGACTTTTTAAATACACCTCCGTCACTGATCCTTCCTTGACTGCCAATGTTGGCATACATCAATTTATAATTACAGTCTACTAAAGCCAATAGTACTATACTGAATGTTTTCTTATAATTGAAGTACTCAGAACCCGAATTGTCTGGACATTGTATAATAATATGCTTTCCATCAATTACACCAACAGCATGCGGGAAATTATTTTTAAATCCGTTTTCAACTTCTAACCACTGCTGCTCATTGACTGGCATCTGAAATACAAAAAAAAATTTATAACCAGATTGCGTTTTTTATTTCAGGACACTGCAACTGTTCCTAATGAAGTTGAAGAGGAAAATGAGGCCGCCGAATCAACAGATTCTTCGATTCCACCAGATACGCTTAATTCATGTGAGGCACTCGATGCAACACCAACGCAAAATAGGACTATCCGGCGTCGTCTCAACCCACCAGAATTACAAATTGCCAGCAAACAAATGTCTGAGGCATTTAACAATTTAAATAAAATGATTAACAAGCAAGATGTTGTTGAAGATGAGTGTGACATATTTGGCAAACTGATTGCCAAAAAATTAAAAAAGATACCTGAACATGAAAGGGAAGAAATAATGTTCGACATTCATGCCTTATTTCGAAGACCACGTAGTTTTGAAAGATCATCTGTTGATTCATTACGTTCCCCTACACCAACTTGTAGAAATTATCCTAATGTCACAATGACTTCTCCCAGGCCACACTCATCATTTTCAGAGCCTCACAACTCATTTGTACCATTTTCCGATGGAACTGACGGAAGACAATACATGTTACATATCCCGGAAACAAATGAAAATACTTTCCTTAATGAAAAATCTTCAATGGTTCACATTATAAGGGATGAAGTTGTTAGGCCAGCCGATAAAATTTCTTCGGTAACCAGCCCAACTACAATCCAAACTCGATTCGTCCCCTACCAAACGTCTTCTATGAATAATATAATAAATCAAGCATACTATAAGTCTGAATAATACCTACTCATAATTTTAATTGTAATTTTAATTAGTAATAAGCTTAAATTAAATAAAATTATGTTCAAAAATTTTAAACATCTACCTTTATTTCATCCTTAAGAACGTCGTTAAGAGCTTTGCAAACATCAACTACTATTTTTGAAATTAACTGACTTGAAATTTTAAATAAATAGTGCAGGCTTTTAAAACTGTCGCCAGTTGCTAAAAATCTCAAAGTGACTGCTAAACGAATCTTGGCAGGTATAGCTTCCCTTAAATGAGTATCTTGCTTAGAGATAAGTGGCAGAACTTTGGAAAGCAAGTAATTAAAATCCGTCAAAGACATTCGATGGAAATTTTCGAATTCTCCAGATGGTTCTTGTATGAGTTCAACAAATTGTTGCTCCATACTATGTCTGCAAAAATATGAAATATAAATTAAAAATAGTCATAATAGTAATAATAATATGTGCATATATTTAGACTTTTCTACTTGTGGTAAAAGTTCTAAATTTTGCCTTGTTTACTAACCTAGTTCTGTTCCGGTGCATTGCAATCATCCACTATCTCCTTTTTCTCCATTTCTTTTTAATTTTTGTTGTATATAAAACACGCACGTAATTATAATACGCGAGCGAACACATTGCAACAGCAGCTGCCTCTTGAACGTTATTCATGTTACGGGTACGGAAGACCCAAGACGACTGAGCTCTTCGCGAAGTAGCACGAGTGTGTGGTTACGTACTTCGGCTTCGATGGACTTCGACGAGCACTTCGTCGAAGTTACTTCGCGAGTAGTGTAGAGGAAGCATTACAGTCATGAGATTTGGTATCCTTTTCTATCTTGCATTTTTGCCATTAGGAATTTTCTTCTCCCTTGCACACTGTTGGTCTATAGGGATGGCCAAAGGGAAAAAATATATCGATATATATCGAATCTATATTTTTAAACAGTATCGATATATATCGTGTGATAAATATCGATATATCGTCATCAATTGAATGATGTAAAGATAAGGTCTAAAATTTTATCTACTGACGGTTGGACGACGAAAAAAACGATACAATATTTTAAAATATATCGAATAAATATCGATATGTCGATATATCGCGATTTAAAATATCGAATTATATCGATTATTTTATTTAAAAATATCGATATTTCGATATATCGATATTTTTTGCACAAACCTATGGCTTCCTACATATTTATTTATTAGCTTGCTATATATTTATTTATCTAATATCTATGTTATTTATCTAGTATCCACTAAGTAGCCCGCCTAAGGGTATTAGTGTTCTGTGCTAAGTAGTCTGAGTGTGTATTTATCTATGATTTCTTGGTTGCTTCAAATTCGCGATCCCAGAGCAGTAAAGCCAGTTTGAGCCAGTTTAAAAAAAATCAAATTCGCGCGTGTTCTGTAATTTAATAATAAATAATAATTAAGTTACCTATTTTTTGAAAAGTTTTTTGAGTTTTAAGCCACAGTATAGTAATGAACTTAGTGATTACTGATTTACTAATTATATGCTCTTTGCACGGTAGAGTAGTTTGTATTTAATTTTGAATTGTAGTTATAAAATATAAAATATTTTACGTTGTTAAGCATAAAAATATGATTTATTACTAGTACTTTACTACGTAATAAGTTCTACCTAGTCTGAGTCGTATGTGGCAGCGCAACTCACTCATTTCTGCTCTACCTATTTCTAATATCACGTTATTTTATATTTACAAAATATTAATAATTCTATGCAAAATATTTACTATGCAAAAAAAAGAAAAGATTTATGCATGTGCTCAAGATGGATGTATATCTAAATTCAATAGACCTCATAGACTAGCACAACATATGCTAACACATTTAAAAATTGTAAGTTATTTTATTTATAATAAAACTTATTAAATTACCAACAACCAATTTATAATTTTTGCCTATATGTTTACAGAAGACATTTTCATGCACATGGGATAATTGCTTCAAATCTTATTCAAATAAAAGTCATTTGAAACGACACATAGCAAGCACTCATGAACATCATTCTAATAATATCTTGCATAGGTAAATAGATACTTATTGTGTTTAATTTTTTTTAACCATAATTTACTCCGGCTCACCTTTAGATTTAATACCCAATGTTATTACTTATCAACTACTGTTCGAAATATCTACTTTATTTACTTACATATACAAAGTTTCAGAGCACGGAAACTCATAATACTTGAGAAAATTAAGAACAGTACAATGGTATAATGAGTTGTGTTTTGTGGCAAATGTTTTGTTTGTTGTAATGTATTTTGATTGAAATTAAAATTAACTAATATTGAATTAGTTTAAAATATATGAGAGTTAAAACTATATCCCAGTCAAAACTAATTTTGAATGATAAAAACAGTCCATAATGAGATTTTCAAAAATTTGTAAAATATGTATATATTTTCTGAGGGGGGAGGTGTGGCTGGGTTTTCCCTCCATCCTCCCCACCTCAATGCAATGATAATGGGTTGTTAATCTAAAGTCCTTCCATGATACTAATATAAGTAACATATGTTCCATAATAAATTTATTTGATTTATCCATGCACAAAACAATGCATTATAAGTCAATGCTATATTATATTACATTGCCTTAAACTACAAAATATTTCCTTTTGATTGACTCAGTAGATATTTAGGATAATTTGTACCTTTCACCTAAACTGTTGCGGATTTGTTAATGTGGCATTTGATATTTTAAGCACAATCTACAATTGTCTTGTCAAATCTATAATTTCAAAGTTGTAGGTAACTTTATACATTTCTTATTACTTACAGCTGCCCACAGTGTCTGAAGAACTATTCTAATCGTCAAAATTTGAAGAAACATATAAAATTAAAGCATGAGAATAAATTGTTTCTTATATGTGACTGTTGTAAGGTACAGTTTAAAAAGAAACATCAATTGAGCGCTCATATGTATATACATAATGGAGTTAAGTCATTCAGGTTAGTCTACTGGAGAATGAATTGAAGTTAATGAATAGACTTTAACATGCTAATGACTTTCCTTCCTGCTTAGGAATCCACCTAGGATTCGTCTTATTTATAAATGCCATTAAGCAATAGTACATCAACTCTTGTATTTGAAGGGTAAACAGAATCATTATAATACCTAGTCAGGTCATAAATTCTGTCACATGTTTAACATAAAATAATTGAAACAAGTTTATTCATTATGTAACCATTTATATACCAAAATGAACTTATCAAAACATAGATTCTTATGACACTAAAGTTTATTCAAAACGACCTCCGTGATTTTGAATATAGGCCTTCAATCTGCACGGCCAGTCGTCTATCGCAGCACGAACGAGGTCCATGTCAATATCGGCGGCCGTCTTAACACTGCAGTACTCGCGCCCTAATTTTCTAATATTTTACAAGTGTGGGGTGAATTTTCAGACCATTTACATTGATCGATTTTAGGTAAATATAATAACAATATGAAAATTAATGCATTCAAATAGTGAAAAGTGTTTATTGTTTATTCTAAATATTATAAAATTAAATGTATTTTAATGAAATGAACAAAAAAAAAATGTAATTTAAAAAAATGAGGAAAAAGTTATTAATTTTGCCAACTCTCCGAAACATTTTCATTTTTTTTTTTAGTTTTAACAGTTTTTATGTAATTTGATGACAAGATGTACAAATTAGAACTTGATGGTCTGGACAAATCCATCGATTACATATATTACAGAATTTCGAAGCAGAACGATCACGTGATCGTGGGCAATAGGCGCATCGACCACTTTTTCCTATTTTCTGGACATTCCGATTTGGATTTGGGTCATTGTCACCGCTTTGTGGTTTTAAAAGTATCTGAGCTTTAGTTTTTAGTTCCCGTGGAATATTTGGAACACCAATTCTATAATTTATTGCAGGTTTTACCAATTCAAATGCCACATCCAGCAGAAACATTCTCCGTTCAATGAGTGATTGCTCATTGTTAGCCATCCTATTCATATGATGAATCACCAAGCTATTTATACCTGCAAGATTTAATAAGTCAAAAAATACAGTAAGGGGCCATCGTCTACTGTTTCTTGAAACATTATATTGATTGCACTTCTTATCAATAATGTCTACCCCACATTTGTTTTTGTTATAAAAAGTTACTATTTCTGGCTTCTGTTTAGCTCCTGTGGTTGAATCAATTATGCCATTATGATGCATTGTAGATAGCAAAATCACGGATTTGTTTCTTTTTGGTATGTATGAAACAAGAGTGCAGTCTTTCTGAAATCCAAAAACAGTACTTTTTTCTTCTCTTTGACGAGATTCTTTGAAAATTGCAGGTATTTCTGGTTTATTAGACTTGAGGGTGCCAACCATGGTAGTTTTCTGTTTCAACAGCTCTTGAGCTAGCGGTATACTGGAAAACCAGTTATCCATCGTGATATTACATCCAAGATTGCAGACGGGATCCAATACTCGAAGTGTAATATCCAGGACTTTGTTAGAAAGTTTGAAAGGCCCTTCAGACTGCGCACCAACATAAATTTCAAAATTATATACGTATGGGAATTTCACATCTACCACCATTATTATTTTGATTCCAAACTTTGAAGGCTTATTGGGCATATACATGATAAAACTACAGCGTCCCCGAAATGCAACAAGCTGTTCGTCAATAGTTAGTCGCTCACTGGGATTATAATTGTTTTTACAATTGGAAATGAACTTTTCTACAACATCACGTATAGCTGCAAGTTTATCTAGTGATTGCCTTCGAGGTCGGCTTGTGACGTCATCAAATCGAACAGTGCGAAGGAGAAATCGAAATCTATTCAACGACATAGTCAAATAGACTAATTCAATTCCTGTGCCTCTAGAATTATCCCAACAGTCTTTCAGGTTCCGTCTTCCCGATCTGTTTACACCTATCACCAGCAATAACCCGATAAAAGCTCGAATTTCCATCATGTTTGTTTGACGAGCATCTCTGTCACGTTTATATTTTGATTGAGCAATATTTATGTAAATATTTGTGGATTCAACAATAATCTGCAAAAGTGACTCGTCAAAAAATAGCTCGAAACAAGACAGTGGAGACTGGGCGTTTTTAGCGTTAGCTTTAGGTCCACATTGTTGTACTAAAATATTGTGCGATCTAGTTCTTGATGACGGTGGTGGTGTTTTGTTCCAACGAGTACCATTTCTAGACCGGTAGTAGTTTGAGAAAGTACTCAGAGGAACATTGTCGTCACTTGAAAAACTATTCTCCACATTTTCTTCCATGTCTTCATCTACCCTCTCTTCTGTGCTTCTTTCTTCCTTCTCTTCTATGCTACTTTCATATTCTTGCTCTGTTTCTGAGTCATGGTTTAGCTCTGTAACACATTCCTCTTCATTACCTTCTGTATCACTCGGCGCAATATCACTCACAACCTCCACCTCTTCCAACCAGCATCGTATTATATTATCCTGACGTTCGTCCATAATGGCGAAAAATCTGTAATGAACAACACAAAATTCATAGCAAAATATACAAAAGTCTTATAGAAACTGAAATCATCTCGAATAGAAGAAAAATAAAACCAATACTTACAAGAAACACTTAATAATCGAACGAGAGATTTGTAACGCCGATACTCGCGTGGGGTGAAATTCCGTCCCGAGCACTTTCCCGCCTTTTTTTTGCCACTAGCGCACGCGTCGAGTGCCGGCGCCGTACTGACCTTGAACCTAATTTACTCGACTAGGATTACACTAAGCGACACAGTCTGTATTCAAATAATTTAAAAAATATGGATGAAAGCATTGGTCTGGGGTGAATATTCACCCCGCGCGAGTACTGCAGTGTTAATCAAGGATGTCTTGAGTGACTCCAAATTGGGATGAGGCTTTGAGCACGCCTTTTCCTCCAAGTGTTGCCATACCTTGTAATCTAACGGATTCAAATCTGGACTGGAGGAGGGCCAGTCTTCGTGCCGGATGAAGTCGATTTCACGCGCCGCCAGCCAGTCTTGTGTGCTCTTCGCTCTATGAGCTGGCGCCGAATCTTGTTGGAATACCCAGTGCCTGTTATTGAACATGGTATGAGAAACAGGTTCCAAAAGGTTTGTCAGGACTGTATTTTGATACACAACTGCATTCAATTTTACACCTTTCTCACAAAAATGTACCTCTGTTAAGCCCCAATAAGAAACTCCCAACCATACCATGAGCGAGGATGGAAAATGACCTCGTTGGACACGCGGAATTTTTTCATCCGAAAAAAGAATTTCCCGATATTTTTTTCCCGCGTACCCCTTCAACAAAGCGCGGCATCTCTTAGTCTCAGGTCCATTAGACGAGCATTCAAACAATGTCCTGTTTTTCTTCGATATGCCCGAAGCCCTAAGTCTTCATTTAACACCCTTTTCACCGTGGTTCTGCTTAACATCATCTGAAGGGCCAACAGCTTCTGCTTACGTTTGGGATTTCTTATAATTCGCGCCTTCACAGCTTTTATCACTGCTGGAGTCCTAACAGACCGAGGGCGACCACTTCTTGACCTGTCATCTACACTAGAGTCTTCATTGTATCGTTTGATGGTATGATAATGGAATCTTTTGGTTATATTAAAATTTTTCAGTATTTCAAAAATTTTAATTGGTGCGTAACCGTAACGATGCAACGCTTCTTTAAGCGTCCACTACATATTTAAAAATGAGTAAAATTCTAAAAAGTGTACAGTTTTATTTTCATGAACAATTCGAAATTCGAATTCAATAAACTTTTTTGTGGCCAGCATTCTAAAAGAAAAGTTTTTACTTAGTGACAATACTTATGACCTGACTAGGTACATGCTATTTTAGTTATCTTAGGTGAAACTACTTGTTGTTGTACTCCTACTGTACCGTTTCTTGTTTAGAGTCAGTTACAGGTATATGTGAGCTGCATTAGCCATTCACAGATGGACATTCTTGTTCTGAAAAAATTATATATTTCCTGTAAACACATATTACATGTGTCGGCAACATATTATTACTACCATTGTGTAACTATTACATGTTGTGTAGTAAAGTGTGCTTAAGATGGATGGTAATTTTCTCACGCATGATTTTGAGAGCCTCGTATGTCTAGTGGTTGTAAGTGCTGCTACAGATCATGTCGTCCGAGGTTCAAATCCTAGGTTTTCAAATCCAAAAATTATTTATTGGATGTTTCTGTTTCGAAATAGTAGTAGCTGTTTCATCTGTTTTGAAAGAAATTAACAGTGGTAGATCCACGAGGCAGCCTTTGCTGTTGCATGTACGGGCCGGCTCGAACCGGGATGGTACCACAACCTCACAGAAGACCAACTTGAAGTAAAAGCTTTGTGTCTGCATTTCATCTGGTGAGTGCAGGTGGCCGGAGGCCCAATCCCCCCTCCCCCCCTAACATGGTAGCGGAATAGCGGACGAGACTTTGTTGACCTTTTTTAGACTTTGTTAGACTTTGTTGAACAAAGTCTCGGACTGTAGGCGACTAAATCTAGTCCAGTTCAATCCCCAGAAAACACAGTTTGCGCGTTTACTGCTAAAAAGAACCCCTTTGTCGTATCTCCTCAGTTTCAAGGCACTCCCCTTGTTGCCTCAGCCAGTATCGGAATCCTCGGCGTCGACATATCGAGTGACGTGTAGTTTCGTGGTCACTTGGAAGAGAACGCCAAATTGGCCTCTAAAAAGATTGGCAGCAGAACGGGACAGTACTTCATGCCGGCACACCGCCTACAACTTTACAAGGCGCAGGTTCGGTCGCACATGGAATACTGTACCCATCTGTGGGCTGGGGCTCCCCAGTGCCAGCTCCTTCTATGTGATCGCATCCAGCGCAGAGCTGTTCGAATCGTCGGCGGCCGAACTATTTCCGATCAGCTTGACTCACTGACACTGCGAAGAGATATTGCATCTTTTCGCGTATTTTATCGCATTTACCACGGGGAGTGCTCTGAGGAATTGTTCGGACTAATTCCAGCCGTACAATTTCACCATCGCACATCGCGACAAAATTCGCGATACCATCTATACCATCTGGATGACTAGCGGTCCACCATTGTACGATTTAAAAGAAATTTTCTTCCTCGTACAACTTGTGGAATCTTGCTACCACCAGAGATTTTTCCGCACTGATACGACTTAAGGATGACTCACGCTAGACCGTGTCGGGTCCGAGCCGAGTGTCGGCCGTAGCACGGTCACCGAGCCGGTCCCGTGTATGTAATTGCAAAGACGGGCCTCGACCGAGCAATTACCGTTGCGGCGTGATGCAGTATACTTGTACGAGCAAAAATAGTGTTGTAACTAGACTACAATCATGTTGAATTTTGACGATCTGGAATTAGCGGCTATTGCGATCACTCTGGACGATGAACAATCTGATAAATCTTCTACTACAAGGAAACGACCGAGCCGAGCCGAGTTGTTTCCGAGCGTTATCCGTTGCTCGACCGTCACTCGGTTGCTGCTCGCTTTATCGTGAGTGTGTCCATACAAAATATATGTAATATTAGTTGACCGTGCTATGGCCGACACTAGGCTCGGACCCGACACGGTCTAGCGTGAGTCATCCTTTAGGGACCTTTAAGATAAGAGCGTACTCGTTTTTAAAAGGCCGGCAACGCAACTACAATTCCCCTAGTGTTGCAGTTGTTCATGGGCGGCGGTAATCACTTACCATCAGGTGAGCCATATGCTTGTTTGCCCCCTCTCCTAAAAAAAAAACAAGTGCTGCATCTGATCTTTTCAATTCCGTCGGATTGCTATCCTATTAGACTATGAGAGTAAGAGAATAGAGAGTGCACCTGTTCTTGCGCACGCGCTTGTGCACTATAATCCTGTCCTGCGCAGATGGCTAGTTATCGATGAGACTGGTCGCCGTGACTGACATAAGGTCTGAGAGACATTATTTCTGAATCAATTCTTGCATGTAAAAAGTATTTGTATATAATTGTATAAATTGGTTATTTGTCCTTGTGTACGTAATTTAGTACATTATTTTTATAGAATGAGAGTTTCTCATTTTAAGTTTATCACGCACGCACGCGAATTCTAAGTTTATCACGCAGATAAACCCCGACAACCCCCGTAAACATACTCGTCAACAACTTCGGGCTTAGTGCTTCTAACAACTACCGGAATAGGAGTGACATGGACGTTATACATGATCCTCGTTTTGTCCATGTTTATCTTAAGACCTATCCGTTGAGAGGCACTATTGAGGTCATTGAGCGTAGTGCTTAGGTCCTCCCAACGATTCTGCAATAAGGACTATATCGTCGGCAAATCGAAGGTGAGTGATGTACTCGCCGTTGATTAAGAACTAATGAAAAGAAAAAAATTTGGTGTCTATGAAATGACCACACATTAAATAAATTTAAAACAACTTCAATAACTATACTTCCTGACTTTGCTAAAAAAGGTTTATCAAATGTATGGGTTGAAGACTTAAGTTTTTAACCTGTACTGATTAATCTATCCTTTACAGAAAGAGGGTGATTACATAATGATTTCTTATATTTACGCGAACACTACACATTTTTAAATAAAACTAATTTTACGGATTTTATCGCGTATATTAACTTATTTTTATATATTCCCGACGTTTCGGGTGCTTTCCAGCACCCGTGGTCACAGGGGACTGAGTTGTTTGACGTCCTGCTGTCATAGTTAGCCCGGCTACCTTCAGTTTTTTAATATTAATTTTTGGTTCGATTTACGCAGAATGAGCTTACAGTATCTTGAAGTCTAGCAGTGGTATGCTTGGGTTTGGATTTGATTTTATTAATTATGGGATCCCAAGCAGATGGCAGCACCCATCCATCTTCTCTATTGAAATTAGGATGTTTTTTAATTTCAATAGCCTCGCGAATCATCCTTGGGAGGAATCGGTGTTCTTTTGCGAGGATTTGTGGTCTGTCAAATCTAATGTAATGGCGGGGACGATCTTGAACATGTTCACAAACTGCAGACTTCCCGATACGTCGGTGCTTCACGTCAGCTATATGTTCTTTAACGCGGGTTTTAATAGATCTTTTTGTTTGTCCTATGTACGAGAGACCACATTCACAATCCAGCTTGTACACTCCTGCATCTTGTAGAGGGATTTGACACTTGACGGATGGTAAAAATTGACTAATCTTCTTAAGCGGCTTGAAGTACGTTTTAATGGAAGCTCGCTTCAAGATGTAGCCAACCTTGTCTGTGACTCCTCTGACATAGGGTAGTACAGCAGGCACACGCTCGACTGTGGCTGGCTTCACTCGGTCACTGTGACGTAGGCGCGGGACCCGAAGCTTGTTGTCTTGCAGTACTTGCTCGACGTGCTGAAGCTCGGCGGCCAGATGTTTTCTGTCACAGATCCCTCGTGCTCTCTGAAACAAAGATTTTCCCACGGTAGCTAACTGTGAAGGATGATGGTGAGATTCACCGTTTAAATATCGGTTGGTATGGGTATTTTTTCTGTACACAGTATGACCAATAGTGTTATCAGGATTTCGGATGACTAAAACATCTAGAAAAGCTAAAGTATTGTTTGCCTCTAACTCCATTGTGAATTGTATTTTAGGGTTTATGGAATTAAGGTGGTTTAAAAATGCAGTTACTTTGTCAGATGGTAAAATTGTGAAAGTATCGTCTACGTACCGCTTGTAGAATCTTGGATTTACAGGAGCAGTAAGAAGGGCTTTCTCCTCAAAGTCCTCCATGAATATGTCGGTGACTACGGGAGATACAGGTGAGCCAATTGCCACTCCGTCTACTTGCATGTAGAACTCTTCTTTCCACAATAAATAGCCAGATGTGAGGCAGTGTTTGAGTAATACTGCATATTCTGTAGGCATGTTGTTATCTTCTAGCTTTCTAGTAACAATTGAGATGCAGTCTTCAATAGGTAGGCATGTGAATAGTGACTGAACATCAAAACTGACCATAGTTTCATTGTCAGCGAGATGTAGGTCTTTAATCTCACTAACAAAATGGTATGAATCCTTTGTGTGTGCTCTGGTATGTCCTCTTAGTGGTGACAGTATTTTTGCCAAGTGTTGAGCCAACTTATAAGTTGGTGAATCGATCTGGCTTACTATAGGACGTAGTGGAGCGTTTGGTTTGTGTATTTTCGGTAACCCATACAACCTCGGTGGTTTGGCACATGATGGTATTGTCGAATTCACGTCAAGATCTAATTTTTCGGAGTATTTCTTTATTAAATCAGTAGTTGTTTTGAGTGTATTAGTTGTAGGGTCTATTTTGACCTATCGGACGTAAGTACATACAAAAAGGTCAAAATAGACCCTACAACTAATACACTCAAAACAACTACTGATTTAATAAAGAAATACTCCGAAAAATTAGATCTTGACGTCTGGCTATTTATTGTGGAAAGAAGAGTTCTACATGCAAGTAGACGGAGTGGCAATGGGCTCACCTGTATCTCCCGTAGTCACCGACATATTCATGGAGGACTTTGAGGAGAAAGCCCTTCTTACTGCTCCTGTAAATCCAAGATTCTACAAGCGGTACGTAGACGATACTTTCACAATTTTACCATCTGACAAAGTAACTGCATTTTTAAACCACCTTAATTCCATAAACCCTAAAATACAATTCACAATGGAGTTAGAGGCAAACAATACTTTAGCTTTTCTAGATGTTTTAGTCATCCGAAATCCTGATAACACTATTGGTCATACTGTGTACAGAAAAAATACCCATACCAACCGATATTTAAATGGTGAATCTCACCATCATCCTTCACAGTTAGCTACCGTGGGAAAATCTTTGTTTCAGAGAGCACGAGGGATCTGTGACAGAAAACATCTGGCCGCCGAGCTTCAGCACGTCGAGCAAGTACTGCAAGACAACAAGCTTCGGGTCCCGCGCCTACGTCACAGTGACCGAGTGAAGCCAGCCACAGTCGAGCGTGTGCCTGCTGTACTACCCTATGTCAGAGGAGTCACAGACAAGGTTGGCTACATCTTGAAGCGAGCTTCCATTAAAACGTACTTCAAGCCGCTTAAGAAGATTAGTCAATTTTTACCATCCGTCAAGTGTCAAATCCCTCTACAAGATGCAGGAGTGTACAAGCTGGATTGTGAATGTGGTCTCTCGTACATAGGACAAACAAAAAGATCTATTAAAACCCGCGTTAAAGAACATATAGCTGACGTGAAGCACCGACGTATCGGGAAGTCTGCAGTTTGTGAACATGTTCAAGATCGTCCCCGCCATTACATTAGATTTGACAGACCACAAATCCTCGCAAAAGAACACCGATTCCTCCCAAGGATGATTCGCGAGGCTATTGAAATTAAAAAACATCCTAATTTCAATAGAGAAGATGGATGGGTGCTGCCATCTGCTTGGGATCCCATAATTAATAAAATCAAATCCAAACCCAAGCATACCACTGCTAGACTTCAAGATACTGTAAGCTCATTCTGCGTAAATCGAACCAAAAATTAATATTAAAAAACTGAAGGTAGCCGGGCTAACTATGACAGCAGGACGTCAAACAACTCAGTCCCCCGTGACCACGGGTGCTGGAAAGCACCCGAAACGTCGGGAATATATAAAAATAAGTTAATATACGCGATAAAATCCGTAAAATTAGTTTTATTTAAAAAAGGGTGATTACACTTATGCTTATAACATTTTTGGTTTCAGTTGTGAAATATGTGAAAAGAACTTTGTCACATTACATGAAAAGAAACGACATATGAGGAGTCATAAAATTTATAACTGTGACCAATGTGCTATGAAATTTAATCAATGGTCAAAGTATCAAAAGCACAAAAAATCAGAACACGATAACAAACGTAAGTATATTCTACATATAGTCTAAAAGTTTTGTTAATTTGTTCTAGTACACAGAATATCTAATATTAAAGTACCTATACCACAGAATAGATAATAGTACAAATACAGAAGAATCACTCTCTGATAGCATACTTGCGAGTTTAAACCTAGTTACAACAGCGCTAATGTTCATAATACTTTGCGACATTCGTTGAAATATCCTGCCGATTGTTGCGGTGCACATATTAAATCAAAATGCACTTTCTTAGATTATTTACATGTGTATATATATATGTGTCCCACGCACACACGCTTAGCGATTGCTATGTCTTATACCAGCGTCATTTGTATCTGAGAGTTACCAGCTAATGAATTTATCCCGATAAAATGGGGAAAAACTGTAAAATTATGTCATGTTAATAAAATCATAAATTAATATGGTGCTTTCTATTGTGTGTTTAGTTGTCTGTAGAGTTAGAATCAGAATTTTTTGTACAGAAAAATATAATCAAATAAAAATCAAATACGCATTTACAAAATATGTTTTATTATTTAATGTATGGTGTTGACTTATAAAAACTCTTGACCTTGTCCGGCGGCTTCGCCTGCGTCATAATTTAATCATTAAATAATTTATCCTAATGTATCCTAAAAACCATGTATCCAAATGGTCACATTCGATTTCGACAATTATTGTACAATTTACTATTTAGTAATACTATTACTAAGAGAAAAAATAAAGAAAAAATATTTAAAACTAAATTAAAAAATAACACCCAACTGCGTGGAAGCTTGCCAAACAAAAACAATCGGTTCATCCGTTTAGGCTGTAGGCTCAGCCAAACAATTTTTGAAACATACCCACATACATACACACACCTTCTTTGATGTATTTCCTCCTTCTGGTGCAGTCGGGAAAAATGAACATACTTCAGCTTTTAAGACAACTATACAGAGAAATTCGCAATCGAAGACTGGCAACACCAAAAACAACAAGTTGATTTTGTGAAAACAAAAATCAATTAATTAGTTTTGTTTTCGTAAATTACTATTAATTTTGAGTTACTTACCGATGGTAGGAGATTTTGTTAGTTGCTTGTAAACATCCTTTGTAATTTGGCGTTACATTTGACTCCGAAGAGCTTCAGAGGCTAACTGTTAGCTGATATTTTTATCAATGCTTTAGAGCCGTCGTTACTCTATCTAGAGAATAACTAATCTAAGTGCACCTTACGTCCGCGTGCGAGAATCTGTATCGCTTAGTCCGTTATGCGCCTTTGTTTAGGCCGCTCCTACTGTAGGATTAGATGTCGTGAGAAAACTAATTGAATCCTTTGATATTAGTTGGTAGTAGAATACACCGAGGTGTTATGCAATGTATTAGTAATTTTCTGATAATAAGAACATTATTGGTCCTTGTGAGGTAGGTTAAAGGTATTACCTACTACTACTACCTATTTATACTTTATTACTATTACGTGATGCCGGTAGAGTAGATAGCATCACAGGATGTCGTAAAAGGCTGCTAATTCAAACTAAAGAACTACCCGAAAAAATCGAAAACTGCGAAGCTGTGCTCGGGTTGCTAATCAAAAAATAAAACTGTAACCATGGCGTCAGTAACCTAATTATCTAGATCTACCTATAAATATATAAAATCTAGCCTAAATACAAGAGAAAAATACTTTTTCGTTAACGTAAGGCGCGCGTCAGTTCAAGCGCGCGCATGACACGGTGACACCCCACTGAATTAGAGTTAGACTCTTGTAAGCAACCGCGTAGCGTAGGTATATTTTCATGCTTAAAGCGCGGAGTGAGACAGGCCTACCCTTAGCTAGTACTGACAATTTAGCATACATTCGTTACAGTAATGGATTCTTAAAGAAAAACTTTGTTTAAGGTTAACGACAATGCATCTATAATCTGTTGTATTTAACCGGTTCAGTGCGGGTGACACGCCAGGCGTGCTATCGATTACTTTTGTGTGTGGCGTATGACACGCGAGTCGTGTCTTTTTAAAAATCGTTATAACTCACTCAAATTGCTTTTTTGGAAAATTTATCCAGAGCAAAATATTCATTATTTTGCGAGTAGTTCATGCATGCAGCTTCGTTTCTGGATATTTTGAAAATTTGAAATTTTTAGGGGTTGACAACCTTTTTTTAACGTGTACATGGTACTATTTTTACTTTGTGGGTTTTAAATCATGTTATGGAAAAATTGTGTAATAAGTAACAAATAATAGCAGTCATTGCGATCGCTCACAAACTCAAGTTGTAAATAAATTTCTGGAAAACAAGTCACCTGTTAAAAAAAAACAATGCGTTTGCTTAAAATGGTTGAACTGCCGTCTTATTACTATCATATGGCCGAATAGACCTACGAAGTACCATGTGCTCTTGTGATATGGTATAAGGTTTATTTTTGCTTGAAACAGTTCGAAACCGTTCATGCATAAAAAAAGTTCGCTAATAAATAGTCTTTTGTCAATCCGCCGCCGTATAGCGCCGGCGTTTTTTTCCTTTTGAAAACACTTGTTTTGCTATTCTTACTAATTAGACGTTTTCAGATCGACTTTACTTTTACATTTGTATAACATTAAATAATATTTAACATTTGTAAATATCAATGAATGATATACCTTATTTTTTTTTTCAAATTAAGGTTCTTCATTGTTTGATATTTACAAATGTTATTATTAGGTGAAAATTTAATGTAATAAAAACCAAGGTTTCCAGGGTGATTTAGCTGTACCTACTTATATAAATGATTTTTTTATAACAACAAAAAATAGTACAAAAGGTTTGCAATCTCTTCATAAAAAAAGTCACTTTCTCTCAATTTCAAAGAAAACGCGTAAAAAAACACGTAGTTACCCACTAAAAACAAGTATCCTTCAATTTATAACTTATATTTGATGTCAAATAAACTTAATTAGGTCTAAACAAGTAAAAAAAGCATAAAAAAGAACATTACTTTTACACATGGCGGATGGCACAATAGGCGTGTCGTGAAATATTTGTTCCCCGCCACAGCTAAAAGTTGTCGAAAATTGGTGTCGCAACGAATCGGTTAAGTGCCTATAGGCCACTTATCATCTAACTAAATTTACTTTATACTTAATTTCATGGTTCTTAAGCTTTACTTGTGAATTGTTCAGAAAGTACAAACTGTTACCCTTAATTTTCCATTATTTAACATTGTAAGATACCACATTTACGTGGTAGATCCATGCTGCAGCTGTATAAGTAGTATAGTTGTAGCACGAATGGGTCGGCTTGACCGGGGAAGGACCACGCTCGCACAGAATACCAACGTAAAATAGCAGCATAACGCTGCTGTGTTTCGTATGGTGAGTGTAGAGCACCGTAGACCTTTTTTTCTGGAAACGATGCATTCCATCTTAGTCCTCACGGGTGATAACGCACCTGCATGTTGATTTGTGATTGAGGATAGATGTAGATGTCTATAGGCCGCAGCAACCATTTACCATCAGGTGGATTGTGTGCTCGTTTGTCACCTTTATCCTATAAAAAAAATATTACACATAGGCTTCGGAGCGCAAGAAATATCGCGCACCACTCTGATGCACCCTCCAAAGTGTATGTGTATTGTGTAAAACAAGTATTAAATCAAGATGCGCGTACATAGTTGGAGTAACAAGTATAAAAGATTTCCTTCGATATAATATCTTTCCATATATTGTCTTTAATTAAATTATCACGATAATTAGTATGACCGCTATCGTAAAGGGCTGGATATAAAGTCCAATCAACTTAACTAATTGTTCTTCTTCTGAATCAGAGAAATTCACATTTTTGTTGCTTTGCTTATCAACATTCACGTAGGTAGGTACTATCGCTGTGGCGGACGCGTCACTACTTACTACTGGTGTGTCGCGACGGCGGGGCATTGCTGCGGAGCTCGGAATGTAATCTCATATAAACCTATAGAGAATATATGGGGACAGTAGTGCTGCGGCAGCTCTGTTGCAGCAGCACTGCTGCGTACAGCTGAGTACGGAATCATACCTTTACGTTTCCCCTTCCCCCACCACAAATACTAAGACCCGCAAATACTTATGTGTTTTGCCTACATATCTCTGAATACAAACCGTGTAATTTTGATCTAGTGTAATCTTTATTTTAAACATAGCGCCGACTGTGCAAATACATGCTTTTTTTTATTTAAAAAAAAAAGAAACGTTACCCCCACACTAGGATTTTCTCCTGTATCGTGGAGGCAGTTTACAAACATAAATTGCACGAGGACAAACATCCAGAACAGGAATAATTTTTTTAGGGCATACAAATACTTGTTCCGTGCGGGATTCAAACCCGCGGCCCCCAGCGCAACAACCCATTTCGTCACGGAGCCGTCATCGGTTTAAACGGGTTGTAGATTTTGACGCATTTGAGGTTTATATAAGCATAAACTTCTTTATTTGAAGTTGATTGCAATTGTTCATAGGCTAGAGTAGGCACTTGCATCTGTGGACTATTAACTTTTTGTCATTCCTATATCACAAATATGTAATGTAATAATAAAAATACGCGCACTATGGCATAACTTCTTTCCTGAATATGATGCCGTCATGATCGGTGCCCCCGTTTTGTTTGTCTATTGCTGTCACCAAGCCGTACATACGCGGTTGTTCTGACGTATCCGGTAAAGGATAACACAGCTGATTTAATGAGGGCTAATAATTTTCTGCACACCAGATGTCGCTAGTGGACACTGAGGTAAAGTTTTTTGCTACACAATGTAATTTAATTGAGAAGTTGTTTTTTTTAATAAAAGTTTACCAGTTTCTAGAGTATTATATTAATTCACAAAACAATGCGTCAGTGGTTTACTCTTTAATTTTTTGCACATTTTTTAATTTTTCTACTTTTATGAATATCTGTAGTTTGGTTTATTTATTTTTAATGTTATTAATATAAAATATAGCTAATAATACAGAAAGAAACAATAACTTTTACATTTTACGAACAAATTGACTTCCCCGCTATGAAATCTGTCAAATATATACCTCACTTTCTACTGGCGCTGACCTGGTGGTACCTGCTGTAAAACATTTCATCAATTTCATCTTAATTCTGGGGGTTCCTACGCACCCGTTCACGCAACAAATGGTCTACTTTGTTTCTTGTACAGATTTCTATATTTTTACCCGACTGCTCCAGAGAAGGGTAATATTGTTCGCGTATAATATGTATGTAAGATATATTATATTTCTCTGTTCTCTTATAATTTCCATAGAACCTAGCAAGGTGCAGTTAGATTCTACTTCATCAAGATTTTAAGTTACATTTTCGACGCATGCAAATAAAAAAACAACATGGCGGTTATTTGAAGGGAATATTTTTTACCAGAGTAATAATTTGGGTGTGATCAACGTATCGTTTACATAGTTTTATCTTCATTTCAGAATACATTTGTAATGAATGTGGTAAAATATACAACCAAAGGAGTTATATAATACGACATATGAGGATTCACTCCAACACTCAACATATAAGATCATTCTCTTGCCCTTACACCAACTGTTTCAGGTTATTAATTTTGGCTTTATTAATTAACAAACTAGTGATTGTCGTAAATTAACTATTTGAGTTTAATTAGGTTATTTAATTATTCTAGTGATAGTTGGTTACGACCATGGTAACTTCGGGAGACTGTACCTTCCGTTTACCTTCATTGTTTTTCTTTCATTATTTACAGCCTATTAAAAGTCCACTGCTGACCATAGACCTCCTCCATAAATTGCCTCATAGAAAATTTGCTGTTGTTGCTTGGGTCGGGAACCGCAGTTTTTTTATTATTTTTGGTTATTATCAGGAAGATGCTACTGCCCATTCCTGTCAGTTTTCCTCTATCGTCTCTTACGGGACGTTATAGGGTAGAAAGCCCGTACTTGCATTGCTTGTTTATACATTGTCTCAAGACGTTCGTCATTGTACATGGTCGTACATTACATAAAATATGTTAGGGATTTTATAATACTCACTTGAAAACCATTTAATAGCACATATTTTTATTTCAAAATCATAAATATAATTTCTGTTTTGCTGCCACACTTTACAAACAGATAGACAGATTACATTTTCAGATACATTGCACCTGAAATGTCATCCCTTGTCATATAGGTTTGTATAGTTTCACAGCTTTTTGTATGGCAATTTCACCATTTTTTAAACAATCGTCGCAGTATTTTTTTAATTGTACAACAATCAATCAGTTGATGGATTCTCCTAATGATGTTTAAACGAAATTTAAAGGCTACTAAGAAAATAAATTCATCTATTAATACAACAAAACCAAATTTTACCACGTTTTATTTCAATTAAATTTGATTCTTGACATAGTGATGTGCTGCATTATGGCCACTGAATTCATATGCATAGATCATGTCAAAATTAATAACTAAAAGCTGAAGGTGTGATATTATCGCTAACCCAGCTTGGGTTAACATCACATCTAATGTGTTTTGTTATGTTTAATTAATATGTGAATATGAATACTACACTCGTGCCAAACATCAATCAATTTAAAATAATTAAAAATCGATTTAATAGAACAAATAGTTTAGTTATATTCAATTGAATTGAGTAAACAGTTTTAGATCAGAATTGTAGGTCATATTTTGTTATTGAATATTAAAATGAAATTTCCTTTTCAGACGATATTCAAGAAATAGTAATCTTACTCAACATATCATAACAAAACATGAAGATATTAAACATAGTTGCACAGTGTGTCAAGCTGAACTTAGTTCAAAGGTTTGAAAAAGTAGTGTTTCCTTTTTGTTAGTTTTTTATTATATAATTTAATGATCTTTTTTATATTTTAGGCAAAATTGAATAAGCATTTAAAACTACATGAAAATGGAGAGCAGCATAAAAGGCATCCAAAATGCCTTAATACTGGACGCAAAGAACGAAAAGATAAGGGTTCCATGAAAGTAACTACAGCTCTCAAGCTAGCTGGCTTGGTTTCCAAAGTAACTAAAGAAAACTGTGAAACGAAATAAAAGTACATATTATTCACCCTTATGCCTATTTATATATAGAGTAATCCCTACTTCTTGAAATCATAATTCACTATTTTTTTTTATTTCCTTAAAATAACGAAATTAATATTAATGTTTATTTATCTAAACAGCGTAAGAAAATAAGTCGAGATTAAGAACGAAGACGAGAACTTCAAATTCATCGCTAGCTCCCCATTTTGGACCTATTTTTGTACTGCTTAATTTATAATACACAAATAAGTCACATTTTCATTTCTAAATGCAATTTAATTTAACTTCATTAGCACATATCAGTCTGGTTTCCGTATGAGCCAAAGGACTAAGTTATTTATTCAAGTGATCAAAGAGTTTACTTTCTTAACTTACTTTTCTGACGCATTCAAATGTGTCCCCATTTACTCCTTGGATTTCTTTCACATCTAAATTTCTGCTTTCCTCTTATCTTCGGAGCTTGCTAGCCTTACAATTTGCAGGACTATTTACAATGTTACTTCACAGTACTTAGATTGCGTATTCTATACAGCTTTTATGTAAGAACTACATAGTGAATATTATCATTTTGATTTCAACGAAGTTGGCAGAATAGGTCTGCTGCTCGTGGTTTTGGTGGCTGATGCACTCTCCGGTCTTTTTGTTTTCGATTTTCTAACTACTTAATAATAAATCTTTAATTATAAAAACGTTCCGTTGATATTAGCATCTATTAATGGTGAATCTTGGGATTTACTTTAATATTAAAGTGAATCCCAATAAATGCCAAGCATTGTTCTTGATAGTTGTTGGTTGCTGTTCTCTGAACTGCCAACTACTCAGTATGAACATTGGTCGTCCGTCACACACGTTTGTCGTCACAACACCTCACTTACCAGTAAGAGATTTTCTCGAGAACCCTTCTTCCTCGGCGGTTTTAGGTCTTTCGAGCTATTAGGCCAACCCATTGCCACTACAGATTTAAGACTTCTAGTATGGAATATATTAGAAGTATCATTTTTACAGCCTATCAAAGTCGATTTCTATATGAGCCATTATTTGGAAACCCCAGTATTTTATTACTAGAGTTCTCGCCAGGTGTTGTTGTTACAAGGCGCAGGTTCGGCCTCACATGGAATACGGGTCTCACCACTGGGCCGGGGCCCCCAACTGCAAGTTCTTTCCACTTGACCGTATCCAGCGCAAAGAGGTTTGAATCACTGGCGCTGCGAATAAATCTTGCATCTCTGCAATGCTCAGAGAATTTTTCGGATTAATTTCAAACGCCAAATTCTACTAACGTACATCGCGAGAAAACTCACGCTACTATCCACACCATTGGGATACTTAGCGGTTTTTAAAAGGTTGGCAACAACCTGCAATTCCCCTCTGTTGTTGCATTTGTTCATGGCCGGCAGTCGACGGCTTACCATCATTAGGTGAGCCGCATGCTCGTTTGAGCCTCTTCGATAAAAATAAATGAGGAAGATGCTGCTGCCTACCTGGTAAAACGGATTCAGTTTCCCTCTTTTATCTCGTACTCCCGGGATGATATGGGGTATTCTCTTACGCTGCCACTACAACGAACTAATGTAACAGGTGAGGCAAAAGTAATCGCCCTATTGGAAGACGCTATAATTTTTGTAAATGGCGTCAAATGTCAAATCGGATTTGACATATTTGAAGTAAACAGATTTAGAATACATGTCGACAAAGCCATGAATCGCTATACTCCTCGAGAACGCGAAATTGTTTCCATTTTTTTGCGCATAATTCTCAAAAAATTTCGTAATTTTAAAAAATTTCGTCGCACATTCGGCCGTCCGACACCAATTGGACAAACACTACTGCGTTTGGCCGCCCGACTTGAAGAGACTGGGACTTGGTTGACGTGAAGCTCGGCGTGGCCGGCCTCGGACTAGCCGTTCTGCTAAGAATATCGCCGCAATAGCCGAAGATGTCGAAATAGACCCCGGAACATCGACCAGACAACGTGCCACGCAATTTGGTCTTAGCACGCGGTCCCTAAGACGAACTTTGGTGAAAGACTTGAAGATATTCCACCTGAAGATGTTCCCTTACAAAGTGCAGACAGTGAATTATCTGTTAGCTGTTGACCGCCAAACGCATGTAATCTACGCTCAAGCCATCCTAAATCTCGACCAAGAAGATGACGGTTTTTAATCGAAACTCATCATGAGCGATGAGGCTCATTTCCACCGCAGCGGCTATATGAATCGCCAAAATTATCGCTTCTGGGGCACCGAAAATCCGGTTGTGATCCACGAAAATCCATTATAAGCGCTCAAGGTTACGATATGGTGAGCTGTTTATGCTGGGGGAATCTTCGGGTCATTTTTTTTCGAGGACGCCACGGGCCAAATGGTTACTGTGAACGGCGACCACTACAGAGCCATGATCAACCAGTTTCTTCTTCATCAATTGGATGAGCGGGGACTGGAGGACATGTGGTCCCAACAGGACGGTGCAACGGCGCAAACTGCCCGAGCCACAAGCAACATTTCATGCTTCAAAGCAGGCATTTCCGGGTCGCCTAATCTCTCGTTTTGGCGATTTGCACTGGCCGCCAAGATCGCCCGATTTGACCTACCCGACTTATTTTTGTGGGGGTTTTTGAATTCTCGTGTTACGTGAACAAGTCTCAGACTCTGGAAGCCCTCAAGGACAACATCCGACAAGAATGTGCGAACTTATCGCCTGAAGTGCTGGCAAAAGTGATGAAAATGCCTGTAAAAGGGTCATCAATGCTGGCGGCGGCCACTTTTGCGATACTACACTACGCTCAATGACCTCAATAGTGCCTCCCAACGGATAAGTCTGGAAATGAACATGGACAAAACGAAGATCATGTATAACATCCATGTCACACCTAATGCCGGTAGTTGTTGGGAGCACTAAGCTCGAAGTTTACAGGGGTTGTCGGGGTTTCTCTGCGTGATAACTTAGAAATGATGATATCCGCAGTAGAAACGGAGTGACCGACGTAGCCCAACGGATTAGTAAGCTGAAGTGGCAATGGGCCGGCCATAGAGCTCGAAGAACCGACAACCGATGGGAAAAAAGGTTCTTGAGTTTCGGCCTCGTACCGGCGGACGAAGTGTAGAGCGTCCCCCCACTAGATGGAGTGACAACCTGGTAAGACATGCAGTAAGTCGATGGATGCAGGTGGCACAGGACCATCCTTTGTGGCATTCCTTGGGGGATGTTCAGCTGTTCAGCAGTGGACTTGTGATGGGCTGTAATGATGATGATGATAGTTCTTAATAAATGTACAAAATTACAGATGATTTGTCACCCTCATTCTATAAAAAATTATGTACTAAGTTACGTACACAAGGACAAATAACCAAACCCGAAATAATTATTGATAGGTCATATACAAATAATGCAAGAATTGATTAATGTCTCTCAGACCTTATGTCGGTCACGGCGACCAGTCTCAATGGTAACTAGCCATCTGCGCAGGACAGGATTATATAGTACACGGTAAGACATGCAGTAAGTCGATGGATGCAGGTGGCACAGGACCATCCTTTGTGGCATTCCTTGGGGGATGTTCAGCAGTTCAGCATCTATGTTCAGCAGTGGACTTGTGATGGGCTGTAATGATGATGATGATAGTTCTTAATAAATGTACAAAATTACAGATGATTTGTCACCCTCATTCTATAAAAAATTATGTACTAAGTTACGTACACAAGGACAAATAACCAAACCCGAAATAATTATTGATAGGTCATATACAAATAATGCAAGAATTGATTAATGTCTCTCAGACCTTATGTCGGTCACGGCGACCAGTCTCAATGGTAACTAGCCATCTGCGCAGGACAGGATTATATAGTACACGGTAAGACATGCAGTAAGTCGATGGATGTAGGTGGCACAGGACCATCCTTTGTGGCATTCCTTGGGGGATGTTCAGCAGTTCAGCATCTATGTTCAGCAGTGGACTTGTGATGGGCTGTAATGATGATGATGATAGTTCTTAATAAATGTACAAAATTACAGATGATTTGTCACCCTCATTCTATAAAAAATTATGTACTAAGTTACGTACACAAGGACAAATAACCAAACCCGAAATAATTATTGATAGGTCATATACAAATAATGCAAGAATTGATTAGTCTCTCAGACCTTATGTCGGTCACGGCGACCAGTCTCCAATGGTAACTAGCCATCTGCCCAGGACAGGATTATATAGTACACGAGGGGGTGCACAAGCATAGGTGCACTCTCTATTCTCTTACTCTCATAGTCTAATAGGATAGCAGTTCGACAGAATTGAAAAGATCAGATGCAGCACTTATGTTTTTTTATAGGAGAGTGGGCAAACGAGCATACGACTCACCTGATGGTAAGTGATTACCACCGCCCATGAACAACTGCAACACCAGGGGAATCGCAGATGCGTTGCCGGCCTTTTAAAAAGGAGTACGCTCTTTTCTTGAAGGTCCCTAAGTCGTATCGGTTTGGAAAAATCTCCGGTGGTAGTCGATTTCATAAGAAAGTTATGCGAGGAAGAAAACTAAATCGCAGTGGTGAACCGCCAATCATCCCCAGATGGTATGGATGGTATCGCGAATTTTGTCGCGATGTGCGATGGTGAAATTGTGCGGCTGGAACTAGTTCGAACAATTTCTTAGAACACTTCCCGTGGTAAATGTGATAAAATACGCAAAGGGATGCAACATCTCTTGGCAGTGTCACTGAGTCACGCAGCCTTGTGGAACAACAGCGTTAATGGGCTAGTAATCGGAGCTCCTTGATGCGCCGTACTGCAAGAAAACTGGTGATCTAATTGCACAATTTCTCGGTAAGCCCATAGGAAGGAAACTTCGTAAGAAGCGCTTTGTGCGAAAACCGACCGAAGGCCTTCGCTATGTCCAAACTAACGCCTTGGATTCTACCGCCTCATCCCATTTATGAATTAGGTAACTCAAAAGATCATCAGCCGAGCGACTGCGACGGAAACCGTACTGACCGTCACTAATCAGCTGGTGATCCTCAAGGTACCGCATGAGCTGGCTGTTAATAATGGACTCCATTATTTTTGAGAACAACATGGTGAGTCTTGATAGAAAAAATCTAATGAATTAAACATAAGTAATCCACAAACAGAATCAAATTTTTTAATTTGTTTAAAACATTACAGCCAAAGAACATCGGATGATTACTTTGCTTCACCCGATATAATGTATGCATCATTTATAACATTAATTGTCTTTAGTGTTATATTCAATCTAATTCATGTAGTTCTGGTGGTGTAAAAACTTTTAACATATAACAGCTTTCATCATATCCTATTGGCTGGGTAGCAGTGACGTAAGAATTTGAAGGAGGGGCGGATTCGATTTCTGCATCAACTTGTATTTGTATGACCTACAAATTATTGTATTGGGTCCCTTTGTTATCATTACATTATGTTACGCAATACCTGTTTTACAATAATGCAAAAATAAAAAACCTACATGGTAAATGAAAATTTTTAATGAAAAATTGGTCTAATAAAATATTGAAGCATAATTAAAATAAATATAACAATATGCATAAAATAATAATAATGACCTCCAGATTTAATTTCGGTTACGGAAGCTAGTCTTAACGCAGAGACTAGCTATTAAAGCGCAGAACAATTATAGCACCTGTTCGTGCACAGGTGCTATAATTGTTCTACGAATGTTGTACGACTACTAAACCAACGAGGCAGTCACTTTTAAAATAATACTCAAACATTACTTAAGAAAAATTTCGGTTATAAAATTGTAATGATTTCATTTTGGGGAGTTGGGTTGGCAAAGTTGGTAAAATTTCTATATTTTCTATTTTATATCTAGTTTAATTAAAATTGTAATGATTTCATTTGGGGGAAAGGGGGGTTGGCAAAATTTCTTTATTTTCTATTTTATAACTAAAGTTTAATGTAATTATTTCATTTGGGGGAGGGGGGGAGTTGGCAAAATTTCTTTATTTTCTATTCTATAACTAAAGTTTAATGTAATTATTTCATTTGGGGGAGGGGGGAGTTGGTAAATTTTCTTTATTTTCTATTGTATAATTAAAGTTTAATTTCAATGTTTTAATACACTTCTAGTTTTGCAAAAGTTTTCAAGGGCGCTTAAACCAGCTTTTAAACTATTCATCTCAATGTTATTCCATAGTGTTCCCATTATTAGATGGAAGAAACAAAAACCAGTAAGTATTAGTTTTATGATATCAGACAGAATATTATTTGGCCAAAACCCTACTGTGCCTAATAGGAACATAAACATTAATCCACCCGAGGTGAGGAACGTGCGTTTTGACTTTGCTATGATGACAGTAGCATCTTGACAAACTTTAATTGCTTGAGCAATGGTCTCATCAAAAGGATCATCCGCGCTTTGTTCTCTTTGATTATATTTCTTTTCACGACTTGCTCTGATACGTAATTCCAGTGATACAGCATTGTGGTCTGAGTATGAGAAATCTTCTCCTGGGACTCTGTCTTCTAACGGGTTTCCAAAATTAATAATATCGGCCTGGAAGTTCATAAAATTTCAAAATAATATAATAAAAACAGCACCTTTACTATTGTTTGTTGCACTCTATTCTCATAGATAATTATTAAGGGAAATAGAAGAATAATAAAATGCTTTTACTCTCTTATAGCTATCACAATTACCACTGTGTATAAGCCCACTGCTGACGATAGGCCTCGGTCATGGATTACATCATAGGGGTGATATTTATCATAGTTACCACGCTTGGCAGGCGGTTTGGAAACCGCAGTTTTTTATTTATGGTTGCTATTAGAGAGACACTGCTCCTATCTTCTGGTTTATTTCCCCTCTGTCGCCTCTAATGACACCAACTAGACAATATGGGGTATTGGATGTTCTTAAACCGTGTGTTGTAGTGACTGTAAGATTTCATGGTATTACAGAAAATCTATAATATAAAAATGAATCGCTGAATGTGTTGCTAAGCGCAAATCTCGAGAGCAGCTGAACCGATTTCGCTAATTCCTTTTTTATAATATTCCTTGAAGTACGAAGACGGTTCTTACGGAGAGAGAAATTTAAAAAATTGCCTGAAAAAGTCTAAAAGAAAAACACTTTTCTATATTCCCATACAAAAGGTTCGTAATAATACTTAAAAGTCAATTTGAACTTTAATACCATACCATAAAGTTTAATTGTTAGTGGAGGGGTTCCGGGAATGCAATACAATTGAGTGACGTTAGTAAATTATGTTATTAAATATTAATGTCAATATTTGTCAATAGTGTTTTATAATTTTTATTTTTTGACATAATGTAATTGTTGACTTATCAACTTTCTTTTTCTTTTTTTTTTATCTTACTAGCTGACTCGGTATCTCGAATAGTAGAATAAGTATTAAAAAAAAATAAAAAATTAAAGAATCGACTAAATATGCACATTTAATGAGATTGCTTATGCATTAAAATATCATATATTCCTTGCTAATAGTGGATCAACAACAATTATTACGACAAACCTAACATATAGTGATGATAACCAGTATTTTAAGGGGTCAAATCAAATCTATACTACATTTGTTTCTTAAATTACCTTTATCTGCTAGTTTTTGTTATAATATACCGCTACCCAAAAATTACCATATCATATCTAAAGTTGAAATATATATACTACTATACTAATGGTGATGATGAATTTTATCATTAAGTATAATAAAAAAAAAAAGCAATGTATATAATTAGTATTACAAACCTCCCATTCTGGGTTCACTTTAAAAAGTATATGATCAATTCTCTTTCCCTCGGGACAATTTTTTACTGTTCTAGAATCAGAATAACTGTTGTTAGCATTATGACTAGTGCCTGATGGTTTAGCAAAAGCTGGATTACTTCCTTCACATTTCATTACAAATGGATCTAATAATGCAGGTAATTGAGTAATAAGCCTGAAAGAAAAATATTATTTTTATAAATACAACGATAATTCTATAGTAAATAATTAATTTAAAAAATTAAGTAATATCATAAATGTTAATACATAGTTCTTCTGCTAACTAATCAGAGCAAAGTTTTCGAATAAAAAGTCTCTGTCCTGGGAACCAGCGAGAAACCCAGCGGGACTTTTTTTTTAAAAGTAAATTTAACATTAATGGTTGTACAAACTATTTACAAAATTTATTTTAGAAACAGCTTGGAAGCGACCACCTCATTCCCAGGGGTTATTATCAACCATGTATTCATTTATATTATAATATTACTGACTCTATGGAGTCGAGCCACCGGTATCACTAGCTTGTGTTTGTTCCTAGTATTTATAGAGTGTACGGTAGCGATGTCTCCATAGAAGCCGAGAAGCCGGGCTTGCCCTATCAAACTGCTTAATCAGTAATAGCAACTAATAAAATAACTCGTAAAATGTTTCAAACTGTTTCAAATTTCCCGCGCGCTCCTATGTTCTACACAGCGCATTAATCGTCGCGGCAAAACTGCGCGATACTGATGTCATAAAAAAGGAGTTGAATTGAGCGATTAGTCGTCTCGCACGCGTGGGCTTTTTACCGGACTTTCGAGAAGACGATTGCTCCCTTTTTAACCTGTGGCAAAAAGTTATATAATGAAAAATGACTACGATTCTTTATATAGCAATAATTAGTATGGTGCTATTAAACCGGGCTTTTGGTCTGAAGTTAGGGGCGCTTGAGCGATACGTTTGCATGCAAGTTCACTTCACATTTCAATGTTTACTCTGTGTGTTTACTTGAGCGAATAAATATTGCAATCTGAAATTTTTTTAAAGGTTTTAAGTGAAAATCGAGGATAATAGTGTTCCTTATGATGAATTGAAGTGTAGAGTAAGAGGAAAAGGTAAAATCTTTAAACTTTGTTGAGAAATATACATGCATGTTTTCAACATTTTACGCGGACGTAATCAAATCTTTCCTTAAGAAAGAGAGACGATTCAATTTAGAATATAAATAATTTGTTATTTTTTTAAAATTTTGTACATAGTTTGTTTGTACTTTGTTCATGCTTTTCTTTTGTTAATGTATTGTTTTGTATGTAAATATCTTTTTCTTTCGCTCAAGCAAACCCAAATGGCTTTTTTCAATGCCACTGAAGGTATGCAATTGCTGATATGTCATACACTCTATCGAGCAGTAGTATGCCTTCTGTGTGCTTTGTTAAACACGTCCTCGATAGCACTGAATATGAAGCTGAAGAGGGGAGACAGATCAAGATTGGTGTATTTTTATAAAACTGCTAAAAACAACAAAACCATATTTTGGGCTTGCCCTAGTTTGGAGCCCTAACTTCGCCAATGAGAGTGTATATCACTTTTTTTTACTAAAACTGTCTTTGTTTTTGTGATATACATTAAATTTTCGTAAATATACTGAGACGCTAAAGTTAATGTATTTATTTCTTTAAATTTTTCTCTAAGGGACTCCCGGATTAAGGTTGTAAATAGCTCTTATGGCCCTCTTCTGCAAAACAAAAATAGTTTCTAAATCAGCCGCATTTCCCTATAGCAAAATCCCATAAGACATTATGCTATGGAAATAACTGAAATAAACTAATCTAGCTGTCTCGACACTACTGAGATCTCTAATCTTTTTTACAGCATAAGCTGCAGAGGTTTTTCTGCTTGCTAGTTTGGATATATGGGGCCCCCACTGAAGCTTTGCGTCGAGTGATACCAAGAAAAACAAAGGATTCAACAGGGCTCAGTTCTTCTCCATTTAAAAACACATTGGTATTCAGATTTTTAACATTCGTTGTTGTAAATTTAATACATTTAGTTTTATTGCCGTTTAAATGCAGATTATTAACGTTGCACTAATTATAATATAGCATTATTCACTTCGTCACATTGAAATGATAGACGTTTAAGTTTAAAAATCAAGGAAGTATCATTAGCAAATAATACTATATCATGATTATCTCCTACAAGGAAAGGTAAGTCATTAATATGCACTAAAAATAGGAATGGGCCAAATATCGAGCCCCGAGGGACACCCATCTTTACGGACAATGCGGAAGAACCCTTACCATTCATAATAACTTTCTGCATTGTATTACTTAAATATGAAATAAAGTTTAAGAGCTGTGTTTTTGACACCATAGTACTGTAGCTTCCTGATTAATGTCTCATGGTGAACACAGTCGAAGGCCTTGGAAAGGTCACAAAATATACCCAAAGCATCCTCTGAATTCTCCCATGCACAAAAAATAAGTTTAATAAGCTCAACTCCAGCGTCAGTTATCGAGCGACCCCTTGTAAAACCGAATTGATTTTTATGTAGCAATTTATTAATATTAAAGAAACTTAACATCTGATCTAAAATTATTTTTTCAAAAATGTTATTAAAGTTGGTAGTACAGAAATTGGTCTAAAATTGGCGGGGTCTAATGTACTACCAGATTTAAATAAAGGTATTATTTAAATCTGGTAGTATATTTTACTGTTTCATTAAATCAGGAAACACACCAGATTCGACGCTTGTATTAAAAATTGTGGCTAGATAAGGTGCTATGGTATCTATTATAGATGCAATAACTAACGGAAATCCCCCATAAGTTTGCTGTTTTCTTAAACCAATAGTTTTAAAATATTTAACGATTATCTTTTGGCAGTACCCTATGGAATTTAAAAGTATTTGAACAAGGCTTTACGTTTTGTTTAAGCAATGATTCGGCGACAGTAGGAGACGAATTTAATGATTTTGTTGTCAAAAAAGGAACATCAGTAAAAGGTTTCTCAAAAGCCATAGCAACTTCTTGATCAGATTGAGTTAAATTATTGTTAATATTCAATTGAAAATCCGAGTTCCGTGGTTTGACTTTGCCCTATTCACTATTAATTATAATCCGTCTTTTTAATTTTATCGGATGTAGTTTCATCCTTAGCTGTGGAGCATTACTTTCTTAAAAATTTTATATGTTTTTACATACTCTCTAAATATAACACTATGATTATATGATTTATCATTATAAAGCTCCTATAACTTTCGTCTACTTTTATAAATTCCTACTGTCGCCTATTCATTAAATGATTTGCGACTGTTTATAGAGAAAGTTATAGAAGCAAATATTCTATTAAATTCACAAGTTATAATTTTAAATAATGAACCATACAAATAATCAGCACTATTTTTAAATGAAAGTGATGGAAGTCCTTTTATTACGTTACTTTTAAACCTCTCCAAACGATGTTCATTTATTGGAACAAACACAACTTTCTCATTTTTGTTTTTGTGTATGTAAGACAATGAGACCAACTGTCCACAGTGATCTGATTAAATTTTGAATGATTGATTTAAGAAAGGGCCTAACATCTGTAAAAATGTTATACAGGTCGCACTAGGCCCAGTAACGCGTGTCGGTTCTAAGAATAAATTAACAACATTATACGATTTAAATAATGAGCTAAATTTAATACTAATGGAAGAAGTTTCAAGGAGATGGATGTTAAAGTCTGTGTTTCGTATGGTGAGTGTAGACCAGGAGACCCTTTTTACTGGAAAAGAGGCATTCTATCTTAGTTCTCACGGCTGACAACGCATCTGCATTTTAATTTGCAAACGATGATAGATGTAGATGTTTATGGGCCACAGCAACCACTAACCATCAGGTGGACTGTGTGTTTGCTTGTCATCCTCATTCTGTAAAAAAAGTAAGCAAGTAGGTGATTGGTAGTGATTTCTGCCTAACAGTCTTGCGTTCATAAACTTTATACAATTGTGAAACATTAATTCATCACACAAATCATTGGTCCTAGTTAATTAGTTCAGAGCGGGTATGCACCGTACCACCAATGGCTCTAATAACTAAAGTAAATTCCTATTTGGGTGTGTCGTACAATGCTTTCTAGTGCTTATTAAGATTATAAAATAATCCTTTTGCATAGAAGTGTTTGGTTTATATGACAACATTATCAAATTCCTCGTCTGTTGAGATTCATTTTGTGTTTGCCAAACCTTTTACTCTAAAACTTTTTTTTACAATAATAGTGAAAACAGTCCACCAGAAGGTAAGTGGATGTTGTAGCCCATAGATATCTACATCAATTCACAATAAAGAATCAAAATGCAGATGCGGTGTCACCCCCGAAGTTTAAGATTTTTTGGGTGAAGAGGCTGCTCGCGTCCGTAGGAAATACTTGAAATCTGACACCCTAGATGTGTCTCCCGGGTAGTGCTAAACGAGAAGCACCAATTCCGGTGGTAGGTTTCGGCCGCTGGCTTTTCGAGTATCACTCACCAATGCAGTCTTGTTGCCGAATGACGTTGTCGTGTACCGGCATGATGCTTGGTGAAGCCATATGGAGAATGGGTCTGAACAGTAGCGTAATGTATGTAAACCAGGTATGAAGCGTTAGTTGTTGCTGTGTCGGGTGCTTGGTCGTGGAGGGTAGCGGAATTCAAAACACGGCTGCCCCGCCAACTAGCGAAAAATCCCAGGGTGGCCCCATCGTGCCGGTTGAGGGGGGGGGGGGGGTTCAGCCGTCCCCGCAGTATCCAGATTAGTGTTGCCCAAAATCGGTCTTGGTCTTGCAGTCTTGGTCTTGTTCTTGCATTTTTGCAAGACCAAGACCAAGAACAAGACCGCCTCTTTTTAGCAAGACCAAGACCAAGACTGACCGTGCAAGATTTGCGCAAGAACAAGACTTAGCTTGCGAGACTCTTGCGTCTTGCAGTTAGGACTAAGTGTCGTTTCAGTATAGGAGTTCGGGTATACGCTTAGGGACTCTATGAGACGCAAAAAAATATAATGAAAAAAAATTGGAAAATTGGACTTATTCGCATTACGAACAATACCATAAATATACATAGCGAATGAAAATATCCATTAAAAGAAAAAAAGAGTGCATCCCTAGTTTTGACCATCAGCACTTTGATAGTGCGTGGCGTCTTGTTGTCGGCGTCATCAAAGGTCGGATACTGAC